AAAAATCCCAAATGACAAGAAAGAAAAAAAGACCTTTTTGTGCTCAAGAGTAGAGAAAAGAAAGTAAAGAGAAAAGACTGAGTAGATCATTGACATTGAAAGAGGATGCAGATGAGACACTTGTGTTTCCTAAGCATGAAAGGGTAAAGAAAGGGTTTGATTGGTCCTTTTATTTCTGAGGTTTGTATCTTGATGTGTTTAGCTGACTGAGCAGTCATGTGACAGGATCATACGTGCTTTATGGGGTGCTTAGGTCAGTTGTGTGATCAGAGGTCCCCCTTAACATGCCCTTTCACCATAAATTGTCCTTTGGGCATACTGAAGACCTAATTTTAAGGATGTAACAATGTACTTATTTTCATATTTTAACATATTTTTTTCTAATTTTCCATTCTGGGCTCAGGATTTGGTGTGATTTTCTATGTTTTGATGCTACAGAGCTGTAGTTATGTACTAGGCAGGACCTAGTTTCCCAAAAGCATCTTAGTGTTAAGATCATCTTACAAGGTAGAGAGAATGTTTGATGTGATGCTTCCTCTACCATTTAAGCAAGATCTTTGTTCTAACATACTTTTGGACAACACAGCCCTGATTGTTTTGACTTAGAAATAGAACTTTCAAACGGAGCTTTTTTTAATGCTGCACCAGCCTTCTAACAAAGTATTCCAAAAATTCTCAGCCTCTACAATTTAGTAGAGTGATCATACGTCCTTTTTTTCCAGAATGTGTCCTCTTTTTGGGACCTAAAAATGCATCTGGCCAGATTTTTTCATTGAGCGCATGAATCCCTCCTCCTTCCCTTCCCACTTTACTCTGATAGGATGCACCCAGATGCTTAGTTTTGATCATTGAGAGTGCTTTCAACAAAAACACTGAGAGACCCTCAGAAGAGACCAAGGGGTGTATCAGTGATACAATTTAAAAATTTGATTCACTGGTCAGATGTTTGACCTTTCAAAACTGTACTGAAATCGTTAGTCTTATCCAATTTCATGCTGGTTGCACTCTGCTAATGATCTCAGGTTCTCTCAAAATTTAACTAGAACCTGAGAATAGACCTAATTTGAGATTTGAGGTCTGTTTATGGTCTGAGGTCAGCCCTGAAAGGGTCATTTGTACCTGTTAAGTTGTACCTAAGGGACATTGGCATTGAAACCTTTCAAACACCCTCTGTTGCCCTCTGGTGGGCACATTTATGTAATACAGGAACCTGCCGCTGTCCATTGCCATCTCCATGCCCATTGTCACAGTGATCTATATCTTGACCAATGTGGCCTACTATACTATTCTGCCTATTCCTGCTATCCTGGACAGTGATGCTGTGGCTGTGGTGAGTGCCCCCTTTTGGTCCTGACCATGATCACAGATTCAAATTAAAGAATAATGCAGGTACAGTTCACAGTGACAAACTTTAAACTTACATTTTTCATGCGAAAAATAAAGTTCAGTATGTTGGTAGCTGACTGACCTATGTGAAATCTAACAGACTTTTGCAGACAGAGTTTTTGGTGTGTTTAACTGGACTATCCCGCTGGCTGTCGCCCTCTCCTGTTTTGGGGGACTAAATGCATCTATCTTGGCTGCTTCAAGGTGAGTGACTTTCAGTAGCACTTCTGAACAAATAACATGATTAATGATGGGTGTTAAACTCAGGCCCTGGAGGGTTGATGTCCAGCAAAATTTAATGATTTCCCTGTTCAAGAACCTCGTAATCCTGGTAATTAAAATGGCCCTTTTTACTTTGTCTATACGTGTGTCTGGTCATATTAAGCATGAATTATCATATCATGTTTTAATGGGTTGATCTTTCATCAGAATATGTCTTTTGCCTGTCTCTAAATGTAATGTATAATATCTTATATATGTATGTGTATATATACACATGCAGGAAATAAACTTTTCAATGGGCCAAGCCTTCATTAAAGTTGACAACTTTTACAAAAGAAGAATTGTACAATGTAGAATGTATATAAATTGACAAAACACAGGGAAATAAACATATTTTTGTTGGGTTTTGACATTTTCATTATTACAGAAATCATGCTGACCGCTCCAAAATTGTCATTTTTGCCTGTTGTGTCTTGCCTTATGTCATGAGTTGAATCATGTGCGTGTGAGCAAGGAAATCATTAAATTGTACTGGACACTGGTGCTTCAGGACCAGAGTTCAACATTTCTGATTTACAACATCATCATCCTGTGCTGTTGTGTCTGATGTGTCATGTGCATGTCGTTCTCCAGGCTGTTCTTCGTTGGCTCCAGAGAGGGCCACCTACCTGACTACCTGTGCATGATTCACGTTAGCCGCTTCACCCCCATCCCTGCCCTGCTCTTCAATGTCAGTCACCTCCCAAACATTACTGCTTGAGCGTGTGAGAGAGTGAATACATAGAAACAGAGAGTTGTAGAGATGGAGAATGAATGTTTGAATTAGTATGCATGTTTGTATTAGTATTCATGTATTCTCAGACATGATAAAGTTGTCAGTCTGTCTTCTGTCTTCCATTCTTCTGATTGCTAATTGTATACATCCCATATTGACTCTGATTCTGTAAAGACCCTTGTGAATGTTTACTCTTATAAAAGTGCCAAATAGGTTACTTTGAAGCAGTGGTTCCCAAGTCTGGTCCAGGAGTACCCCTGCCCTGCATATTTTCAAGTCAAGTTAGGTTTATTGTAAGGGTGGGCAATATGATGATATTTATCATTATTAAGATAAATTATGTCACATTATTTATTATTATTTTCTGAACATATCAGTACTTAAAGAATACTGACAGACTGCATGTTTCATCACAAAGACAGCATAATAATATAGGCCACTATTGTAAGTATGAATATGTTCCTAATGACTTGCCTGGTTAAATTAAACCAAAATAAAATTTGGTTAAAGAACCAAAATAAAAAAAATCCTGCTTTGGATTTGGTCCACTGTGTGCATATGACTGTATTTTGCCATATTGCCTACCCTTAGTTTATTATCATATGTATTCAGAGCACAGTGCATGTAAAAAAAATTACAATGAAATCCTAATACTGCATCAGCAGTTGTAGACTATTGTCATAAAGAATCTTTCACTGAATGGTTCTTTAAAGAGCCACGTGAAGGAGCTGTTTGAGTACACAGAACCTTTTTAAAGTCTTTTAAAGTAAAACCCAAACTGTATGTCCAAGGTAAGAACCATTTAGTAACCATTATTATTAATAATGCATGGTCATCTGAGTAACAGCTTTGTGCTGGCCTACAGGGTGCCATGGCTCTGGTGTATCTATGTGTGGAGGACATCTTTAAGCTGATCAACTACTATAGCTTCAGCTACTGGTTCTTTGTGGGTCTTTCCATTCTGGGTCAGCTGTACCTGCGCTGGAAACAGCCAGACAGACCACGCCCACTAAAGGTATACCCATAGTCTGACTTTTTAACCTTCTAGAGGATGATTATAGGGAATTTTCACTTTCATTCTGTCCAGTGCTTTAAAAACAGTTCTTTTAGTGATATCCTTCCATTATAATATTTAACGATTGTCAGAATCAGATGTTACATTTTTGTCTTTTTAATCATTTGTCATCCTTTTCTTCTCTTTCTCAGCTCACTATTGTCTTCCCGATTATCTTCTGCCTATGCACCATCTTTCTTGTGGTGGTCCCGCTCTATAGTGACACCATCAACTCCTTGATTGGTATTGGAATTGCCCTCTCTGGTGTACCTGTCTACTTCCTGTGCTGCTACACCCCAGCCTCACGCAGGCCGCTGTGGCTGCGCAAGTTCATTGGTGAGATTCACATATTATTGCCGTTTGTCACCAGCACTATTGTTTGTTAGTTGTTCTCATGACCTGTTCCTGATAATAATTAATCAATTTTTTTTCTTGATGCATATTTTCAGCATCATCAGGTGTGCTGATTCAGAAGGTTTGCTACTGTGTGCTGACAGAGATGGATACAGATGAAGGGAAAACAGAGTAACAGTGATGACAAGAAATGTCCACACAGTATGCAGAATTCTTCATGACTCAGTCATGATCACCAGTGGGGTAATTTGACTGATGTAACAAACTCTGTGGGTACTGATTTATACAGCTGCCTGAATGACTATCCTCAATAACATACACATACCTTTCAGGAGTAAAAAATTCACTGAAGTTCATTTCCTGTTGCACATATTTATGTATTTTCTCACTTGTTTTGGAGTATTCAGGATATTTTAATAGATTAGAAGTAAATGACATTTTAATGCAGGGGCACCCAGCAGCACTTCCTGGGCATTTGTTGCCTTGCAGCTCGACTCTAACCCCAAATTTAACACACTGCGCACTAATATTAAGATACTCATGAAAATGTGATTAGATTGGCCGTTTCAGATTCTGGAAGGAATTCTTCATGGCAGAAGATCTCCACAAGCAAGGCTAGACAACTGTGCTTTCATGTTAAAAAGTGGAGTATGTGAACCCTAAAAGGGGCAGAACTAATAAACATTAGCACTGATAACACTAGACTTAGATGGTAAAATTCACATGATGAAATTTGAGAGTTTAGTGTTCCTAGTTCTTTGTGATATTAAGCTATTAAATGTACAGAGGTATCTGTGATACTGCCAAAGATTGTAAGAGAACAAAAAAATAATTTACATTTGTTGTTCATTGTTGTCAACTGAAGGGCTAAAATAATTTTAAAAAGACAGAATTCCATGTATCTTAAGTAAAGTTTGATAAAAAGAGATTTCTAAGTAGTTTAAAGAAAGTTTAGACAGATTAAATTTCATCTTACAATATATGTGCATCAGTAATACATTATATAAATGTTAGTTAGGGTTATATTTTCCAAGTTTTGCATTTGCTATCTATGACCAACCAAAGTAATTACAGTATTGAAACATTTGGGTCAACTGTTCTAGTGGTTCTCTTATGTGAAATAAGGCAGTTACAGAAGAGTTGATTATGAGGGAATGTGTACACTGCCATTATGAGAAAAATAATGGGGTTGGAACTGAGGATGGGTTTAAGATGTGTATAACATTTAGTTATTTGTGTATAACATTTATTATATTTATGTCCTGTGGATGGCAAATAAAAGAAATCCTAATTATGTTTGTGAGTTACTTATTGATCAGTCAACCAAATCTGTCCTTTACTTTTATGAGAAAAAAAGCAAAACAGTAATCAGCAATAAGGTGATCAGTTTCCTCTTTAATGTTAGTACAATAATGCATTTAGCATGATACATGTATCCCACCCAGCATTCATTATCCTCCCACTCTTCCACTTCCTCAGTCTCTTCATAATTATATACAAATTAGACTACAAACTGTCTGCTAACCAGCTGTTAACCTATCGTCTCCTCCCAGGGCCTTTTCTTTCCACCCTTTGGCTGTTGTTCTTGCTTTGGACTGGCCAATTTTGCTGTTGACATGGGTGCTGTTGCTTGCTGCAGGGGATTGTGGGTAAAGGTCTGCCTCAGGGGGCCTAAAAGAGTTAGACAAGTGGTTGAGGGAAAGTTAAGAACATACAGTAACCATACTCTCTCAATAACTGACACAAACATGCACACACAGACTCACCTTTGGCTGCCATGTCAAGGTGTCCTTTAATCCTCCGCTCTCTCTCCTCCAGCTGCTGAGCCAACTGAGCATTTTTCCAACCTATAAGAAAAAAGTTGAAGAACAAATGACAACATGAAATAAAGATTTTAACCATATAAACCCAAAAAGCTGTATAGGGCCCAAAGAAAACCAAGGAACGCCATCTGTTTAAATGTGCCGCATTGATAACAGTAAAAACATTTGATCCATTTCAGTGTGTAGAACCGGACATTTCTGTGTGCTACCATGGTTTGTGTCACTGTATAAAACATGCATGAGGCTTCCTTTTTTGTTGGACGCACCATGTTTTTTTCCCCCCCAAGTGAGCGTGCAAGCTGAACAAAACTCAAACCGGCAAGCACTTATTACTGATTTGTTCAACAGAGTAATGATAAAGAGTGATTGATGTGCAATTTATATTCCTATTCATGCGTTTCCTTTTTCAAAATGTAGTTTGTGGCAATGTGAATGAAAAATCTCAGAATTTTCATCTTTGTTGGATATCAAATAAACGCAACAGCACTGAGACATCACTTATTAACAAAAAGAGTAGATAAAACATCAGAAATAGCTACTTTTGTGCGTCAGCTTTATATAGATATAAGCCTGTAATATCAGTAATAAGTCTGATGTTTGCTTAAAATCACTTTTTCAGTTTCTAATCATTATTGGAAATGTTTTGATAAAGCTTTTTGCAGATGAGGAAGTACCACATGGACCTAGCTTGTAACTCATTCACCAACTCACTCATGTTTGGCAGGCCCTTCTCCACAAGGGGCCACTATTAGCACTCAAGCAGCTATTGGTGCTTTGTAAGAGTGGTGCTTCGCATCAGTGATACTTTTTGTCTCTACCGTTTATTAGCCTAGTATCAATAAGTCACTGGTGTTACTGTCCATAATTATGATTAAATGCAATGCATCCCAATTGTTTTGGTAGACATGGAAATACTGATAACTGGCTACAGCCAAGAATGTTCATACTGGTATGCGCTTATATTCACAGTGATTCCTATTTACAATGTAACAAAAGTCACTATGAGTGGGCAGAACAAATGTGTGACATTTAAGTAACACAGAAGAAAAACAAAACGAGGAGGGACAGATGGAACACGCACAAATTCACAGAAAGTGGTGTATTTGTGGAGAGCACCAAGTACAGGGATCAGGTGATAGTATGTGGTGCTATCCTGATAGTATCTGGTGCTTACCTTTCAGAAGTTCTGTACAAAACGCATAGTAAAATAAAATAACAAAGAGAGAAACAGACAGAAATAGAGAGACAAAAGTGGTACACAAACACTCCACTGAGGCACTGAGCTATGCCATACCCTTCTTGATGCTCTCAATGAAGCCCTCATTGGGAGGCAGGGCAGAAGGAGGATGAGTGATGCGGTCTGGGATGCGAAATTTCCGCCTCACCGCAGGATGCCTCAGTAGGGCCACCTGGCCGAGAGAGAAGAGGTTCGAAGTCATCCAGTAGGTAAACACCGCCTAGGGAAGAACACACATAGACATAGTTACATTTACAGGAGTCAGATGAATGTAAGTAAGAAAAAAATGCAGAGCGAGAGAGAGAGAGAGACAGAGAGAGAGGGAGAGTGACTGACCGTAGGGAAGTTGATAGTCATGGGCAAGATGACAAATGGCATAATTCTGAAGACAGTCTTCATTGCTCTCAGATTAGGGTTGTCCACACCAGACTCCGCTCCCAACTGAAAATTGGAAAAATGTTTAAAAGAGCAGTGTTTTTCAATCCTGGTCCTGGAGGCCCACTGTCCTGCATATTTTAGCGCTTCTCCTGCTTTTACACACCACTTTAACTCAATAACAGGCTGTTAATGACGTGATTAGTGGAATCAGGTGTGCTGGGAGCAGGGAAAACACTAAAAAGTGCAGGGGAGGGGGCCTCCAGGACGAGGGTTCAGAAACACTTGGTTAGAGAAAGAGGCGTGGTGTATTAACGGGGTTAATAGGCAGTTTAGATAAAACAGCCACATAAATTTTCAAGGCATTACATGAAAAATATTTGATGAACCTCATTGTTTTCACCCAAAAAATATCCATTTTTGAACACATATTGTTATGGTGCAGCTAATTTGGATATCAAATTACAGTTTACAACCTTTCATTAACATTCAAATTGACTCTTTGACTCTTTGACTCTAACTGTGAAAGTGACACATGACAAAATGCAGTCAGCTTTACAAGATCATATTATTATATTCAAATAGTCAAAGGCTGAACTGCTGGCAGTACCTCTAGGATTGCAAACATTGTCCCAGTGACAGCCAGTGGGAGGATATAATATGGATCTGCTGCAGTTAGATCTGTGAACCACCATAATCCTCCAGTTTGCAGACTGGGCACTGGGAGATAGGCCATCTTACGCAAGGCAATGAAAAATGAGATAAAAACTGGTGCCTGAAAAGAAAAAGACCACATACTCAGTGAGATAAAAGTATCAGCAGAACTTAAGTTTGTTGTGGCACTCATAGTAATCTAGCTCAAGTATAGCAATATTATTGTTAGGTATTATAGTAGTAGTAAAATAGTACAGTAATTATATCAGCTGAGCTGATTCAAGGATTCCATACTGACCTGCACCAAAGGCACCAGGAACCCTCGGAGAGGGTTCACATCATGCTTCTTTTGGAACAACATCATGTCAGAATACGCCTTTGAGACTGAAAAACAGAAATGCACAGTTAAAATCTCAGGTTTAAAAATCATAGTAATTGAACATATTAAATAATGAAGCTAGTAGTTAATAATCTAGTACCTAAATAAAAAAACGGCAGACATAATTGAAGCTCCTATTACATGTGTACTAAGCCAAGACTGTCAATGAGATAAAAGTCAGAATTGAATGCAAAAAATGCTTTCTGTAAATTCCAGTAAATCCTAGCCAGAATATATGAAGAGAATTTAGAAGAAGGTGAGGAACAATAGCTGTGAAGGGAGATACTGACACTCAAACTTGTTGCCACTCTGCTTGGCCTCATTCATGCGATTTGTGAGCTTGGTCATCTCTGGGAGGACATTGTTTAGCTTGGCTGCCTCCCTCTGGCCCTTTACAATGACCGGAAACACTGCACAACGAGCTATGATGGTGCCTGAGTATGAAACATTACAAGATTAAAATCGATTAGCAAAGGAACCTTCCATTCATATAATTCACTTAAACCATAGAGAGGAGTTTTAATACATGCTAAGTTATACTGCGTGCTGCTTCCTACTCTCCTACCTACCTGCAACAATGGCACCCCACCATGGCAGCCCGATGCCAACATGCATGAACTCCAGTAAGTTCTGAATCAGGCCCACAGGTGTAAAGCTGCCAAGACCCAATTCTGCTAGGCTGGGCTCTGCTCCTGCCCCCTGCAGGATATCCAATGCCATGAGAGGGGCCTCAGTTACTTGTTCTGTGATTGGCTGTGTGACTATTGGTGTGGGGTCCGTGACAGGTACAGATACTGGAGCAGACGGTGAGACATCTGCTGCTGGGCTAACAGCAGGAACTGTTTCACCAGCCGTCTGAAGGGAAATGCAGAAGAAGAAGTGTGAGAGAATAACAGTGTTTCAAAGGCACACTGAGAGACAGCAGGATCAATCAAAGGAATATAATGTCAGTGTATATATACAGTCATCGAGGGCATATAAACATTAAAAAAGTCACTGTAGGAAAGCATACAAAAACACTTCATATTTCAAAGAGCCTACAGTTACTTGCCAACACACCTGTGAGCTGTTATGGCGGACTGCCACAGCACTGACCAGTAGTAACCGTCCATGACTGTGACACCCACCCAGAGCCTGGATTAAAGGACCCCTGCTTCTTCTGACTGTGTGAAGATGTGATCTCTGTTCAAAATACTGCCAGGGGGGATGGGAGGATGAAAGTGAAGAGAGCATTATTGTGGTCCATTAAATCATGCAAGAACATAAATTATTCAAGTTGGGTGCGCAAACACACACGCAAACTAAGACACACAGAGAAATACAAAGATGTTTGATAAATACAGTGGTGTCTCACTTTGATTGTACAATACATAAACAAAAAGAAGTGCTTGAAATTCTGCTAGTTTTTTTTTTTTTTCTGTAAGTGTTTCTACAGGGATATTCACTCGAAAGAGGCCCCGAATATTCTGCAATAACTCTCTCTAGGATGAAGCAATCTGAACGAAACAACGTGCAGCGTGCTCCTCAGTATATGGAGCTTCAAACAAGCTGGGATGCCCCTGCATTGGAGCGATGAGGTAGGCACTGGACAGCCGTCGTGACGTTTAACCTCCGTTTGTAACTTCCGGGCTAACATAGAAGGTGCTTTTTCTCTGTACTCTTTTTCTGAGATAAGGAAAATACATTGTTTTCAAAGGAGGGAGGGTCTGCCCTCATTGTGGGGTTGCTTGTTTAATTTTTATTGTATTAACAAGAGTATTTGCTTCCATCTGTTGAGTGTATTGTTCGATCCATGTGTGTACTGAATAGAGAGGCTTGTATTGAATGATACAATATACACTGTATTGTTATACTCCTACAAACACTGACAAAATTCTATTCCCCTCGACAAAATCCCTATTTAATACAGTCATGTTAGAGATAATACATTTTGTCATATCACAATACATCCGTAAGTTTCTTTTTACAAATGCACAATATATTCACAATATTTATTTTTTCTGACATCTAGTTAGTTAGAACAAAAAATAGAGACACATTTTGATTATATTCTCAAAAACTATGAATCCAATTATTTGTATTCAAAATTTCACACATATGCTGCACTAAATCCAATAAAACATGCAATTAGGAAGCGTTTTTTAAGCACTGACGATATCCACAATACGTTCAGAAAAGCATATTGTGACATGCTGTCATGTAATTTATCACAACAATGATAAATATTGTCACTCTATGGCATATGCATTCCTATGCATTCCAAACTGACACATCTCAGACTTGGCAATCCAAAAATGAGATGAATTATCACAACATGCTTAAATTCTAGCCGCCTTATTCCTGTTGAAATCCAATTTTTTCCCACCAGAATGAGAAGTGTTTCTGACCTAGCTCACTGATCAGATATAATCTAATTCTTGATCAGTCTGAATTCCTCTCAAGTAATATAGTTACATTCTTTCTGGAGTTCACTCAGAGCTCAAGTTAAAGGGCTCGTACCATTCAGTCCCCACATCCATTCAGGCAATATATGTAAACTCAACTGCAAAAACAGCTGTTCTGAGTCACTGTTTTCGTGATGTCATTTTCCACCTCTTCGGCTTACAGCAGTTTAGTTCTGTCCATTCACGCCTACGTCATATGAAGTATTTCAACCTGGACTGCTTTGTAAAAGAGGTGCAGTACAGAACAGCCAATCAGAACAGAGGTCATTTACATCGGTCTTAAAGGCACAGCAACAAAAACAGCCTGTCCAATTCTAGATGATAAAGAGAGGTTGGAAAATGGTCGTATAAAAAAAGAATTATCAGTGGTTGTGGTGCATAAAGCTACACAAAGACCATATGTGGACGTCTGGCGAAAAACATAAATACATGAGAAAAAAGCAGAATAAAGGCCCTTAAGGATCTTAAGAACGAAAGTTCTGCAAGCATGTCAAACTGGGACCTTCCGGGCCAAAGTGCTGCTGATGTTCGCATTTACCCTCATCTAACGCTCTGAACTCGGATCATAAAGGCCTTGCTAATTAGCTGACGAGCTGAATCGGGTGTGTTCAATAAGGCATCATGTTGAAGTCTGCAGTGTTTTGGACCGCGAGGACTGGACCTTCACACATGTGCTTCAGAGTGACGGTAATAATCTCAATAATCTAGTCAGCTAAATGAGACATTCCGACTGGATGACTTTTGTCAGCATAACGTCTCAGAATAACCGGTTCTGAATGTGACATTAGCTAGCAGGAGTAAAACAGGCTCTCTTTCTCTCTGTCTGTGCGGCTCTGACCTCCCTCACTCCGCTAAGTTAGCTCAGCTAACTCAACACGCCCGGCAAGGTCCTTCACCCGGCAGAGCTCTAACTGACCCCAGCACACACAAACACACAAACACACAGCACACACAAGGAGAGTGACCAACCCCGCTCCGCGTCCACACTGGCAGCGCCGTAGAAAGGCTCTGTACATGTGTCTGTTTAAAGAAACAGGTCGTTAGACAGACAGGCACCCCTCTGCCTCTGAGCGCGGCCATTTTGAAACAGAGCTGAGGCTCGGACGGAGAGGCAGGAGGGACAAACTGCGTTCCGGGAGTTTCGCTTTCCAGCCGCAGCATAAAGCGCAGTGCAACACAGAGCTTAGAGCGAGTCCCGCTTCGCCGGTCGATCCGGAAGAAGCGGTGATTTGTAAACAGTTCAGAGTAGTCAGAGTGGGAAATTAAAAGCCTAATATTAACTTAATATCTGAGACATGTCCCAGCCTGAGGAAGACGACAGGTACTCAGAAGACGCTGCACCTTTGTCCAACTTCTCTAATCTGAGTAAGTGTCGATTGCTGTGATGAGCTGTTTACTCGATTATTTTGTTTATTTCGACTTTTTTCATAGTGAATAAATTACACAGTTGACTTGTCGAAGCTACAGTGTTGGATAGTTAAAGCGGGTTTGTCAAATTCACCGGTTCACAAAGTAAAACTGAAAGTGACCGGCTTAAACAACAGGAAACAAACTTTTAACAGACTCTCATTATTTCCCCCAAAATAAAGGAATTGCTAAAGGTAAAGAGAACAGAAAGTCGGATGAAATCGGTGAGTGGATTCAAAAAGAACTAGTTTCAACCCTTTCATCCTCTAAACAAAGATCAGCCTTAATGGCCTCACAATAACAAAGTGAAAGTATTTTCTTTTTTTCCCACCAGAAGTCGTTGTTTTGCTTTGTGGTCATGAAATACCACTAGACTACCTGATTGCGTGGTGCAAGTACTGTCTTAAACAGGTGTGTTCATTTTAAACAGCCTAGTCTTCTGAACATGAATGTGGTTTATTCTTGACATTTTAGATATTTTACATACCTTACAAATAAATATTACAAGCTGTTGTAAACGGAGCCTAATTCTCCTCTAATGTTGTTTCTTTGTTTTAGAACAAAAACGACTTCACCTGTCCCAGATTTGATGAGGGCAAGAAAAAAATATGTGGGAAGGGATTTTCTTATCAGGTCTTGTGTCAGAAAGCGAAACTAACTCCCGAACTGAAGGAACACTTTGAGGAAAGACTTGGTGCATTAACTGCTGCAAGACTCTGTGAATATAAACCAGTAAGGATAATTTTCAGTTCAATTTTTTGCTTAAAACATTCCTATAGATCTGTAATGTGACAAATTTTACTACATCTTGTGAAAATTACATCTGCTTATTATTATTATGATTATTATTATTGTTGTTGTTGTTGTTGTTGTTGTTGTTGTTTTGCCTTAAACTGACCCCCCTTCCAAACCCGATGTGATCAGTGTCCAGGGTGCCAGTCTTATGTGGAGAGAGCAGATAAGAAAAACTTGTGTGTCCGTTGTACCATCTGCACCTCCAGGACAGGGAGCGCGTATGAGTTCTGCTGGAACTGCAGGAGGGAGTGGAAGGGGCCAGTTGTCAGTGCTCTGAAGTGTGCAAACGACGGCTGTGGAAAGCAAGAGGTAGGTCTGCTTCATAATTGTAGTATATTTTAGTTAAAAATTCGTACTCCAGCTGTCAGTATTGTAGACTGGTTCTTTGGTTATGATTCTGCAATAATATACATCGACTAGCCACTTTATTAAAAACACCTTGTTTCTTTACTCTTTCTCCATTTTATCCACTCCACTTATATAGGTGCACTTTGTAGTTCCGCAGTTACAGACTGTAGTCCAACTTTTTCTCTGCATACACCCCTACCACATCAGTGTCACTGCAGTGCTGAGAATGATCCACCACCCAGATAATACCTGCTCTGTGATGGTCTTCTGACCGCTAAAGAACAGGGTAAAATGGGGGTAACATAGTATGCAGAGAAACAGATGGACTACAGTCTGTAGTTGTATGTAAAATCTGTAAAACAGTTGTGTTATATAAAGTACAGCAGAAAATGACAGAACCAGAGACTGTGCAAGTTTGTACTTTAAAAAGGACACTTTACTAAACTTAGCATTACTCTAATGTATAAATGTATCCTTTTTATCTTTACACTATGCAACGCTTTCAGTTTCATAGTAATACAGATGGAGTTATTTATACTGGACCAAACTATTAAACATTAAGTAAATATAGTGATGAGGATAAAAAATAATTATAATTTATAGAGAAACAGCATTGAGAATATAATCTGAATGCCTGAATGCTAATAGTGAGAGAGAGAGAGAGAGAACTCTACATTCAAACTCTACAAACTCTAAATTCTTTGAAATAAACATAAAAGTCAGAATTCACAAATCAGTCTGTTTTTTTTTCTATTCTAAATATAACATAAATTTTCAGTGTTACCAAGAATTTATCTTACATTATCACATGCACAAATGTAGAGTAATGTTTTACGATCTTTTAACAGGTCAGTCCACCTAATCCTCTTGTATTATGTCAGCCAGAGTTTAAAAGGTACAAACTCCAGAAAGAGAAAAATGATGTAAGTAGACTCCACATGTTTACATGTTATGTGATTATATAATTAGAGATTATTCTAATGATGTTTGTGTTTGAAGTTTCATATATTTCTTTATTTTTTTCTGTAGATATATCCAATGACAGACAAAAATCCTGCCAGAAAGCGCCTTGCTCTGCTAATCAACAACATTGAGTTTCAGTATTTGAATGACAGAATCGGGGCAGATAAGGATGAGCTTAGCATGGAGAAGCTGTTTGAGGGTCTGGGTTATGCTGTAGTGACACTCAGGAATCTATCTGCCAAGGTAATTACTAATAAACATCAGGTGGATAACATTGTTTTAAGGGCAGCCCATGAGGTGGTTTATCATTAGTTACTGAGTTGCTCTGTTTTGGTCTGTTTGGCAGGGTATGGACACCGCTATGCGAGACTTCTCCCAGCGAGAGGAGCATAAACTGTCAGACAGCTGCTTCGTGGTGTTCATGTCCCATGGAAGTGCCTCTGGATTACATGGAATTTTTGACCTAGAAGGTAATGATGTCTTTTCTACGAATGAAATCTTCAAGCACCTGAACACACCAAACTGCGCAGGATTACGTGACAAGCCAAAAATCATCCTCATCCAGTCATGTAGAGGAAGTGAGTAACACACTGATCACAGCACTCTTTTTCTTTACAGTTATCATGTGTTCATCTGCACTTCTCTGTCTGTTTTGAATGACAGTAACGTTTATTGCTAAGACTAACAAAAAAAATCTATAAACGTTTAGGTGATGATGGTGAAGTGTATGTACAAGACAGTGGAAATCAGCGTTTACAAACAGAACATCGTGAGAAAGACTTCTGCTGCCTGAGATCCTGTACTCCAGGTAAATATCTTTGTTCTACACAAGAAATGTGTAGGTACAATCCAAATGATAGTTTATCAGAATCCTGTTATGCACCAAAAGCTACATTCATATTGCACATAAATGTTTTTTGCCCAAACATGACACAGACTGAATGTTTTCTGTCTGAACACGGGAATTGGATCTTTTCAAACCATTTTTGAGCCATTATGTGTCCTTGTGATCATAATAAGAATGTTCAGAATTAATTTTTTCCCTTTGCATTACACTACACTGCGTATGCACTTATCACTTTCATCCTCAAGTGTCCAGCTAACTTCATAATAGAACCTGTGCATGCAGGCCCTTTCTGAATGGAGGTCTGTTCACTCTAAAGACATATGGGTCACTACAGCAATGTGAACCATTAAGAGAGAGAGGGAGATCAGATCTGAGAAAATAATCGTAATTGAAAATTAAGGCTTGTAATGTGCAGCAGCTGAACTCATTCAGGATCAGAATCAGGCTTTTTTGGCCAAGTATGTTTGCACATGCAAGGAATTTGGCTTCACAGTAGCACACAGTACGCAACAGCTGACAACAGTATTTCATATTCTACACTCTCAAAAACAAAGGTGTTAAAAAGTGTTCTTTGCTAAATGCCATAGAAGAACCACATTTGGTTCCCCGCAGAATTTTTTCAGTGGGTTCATTTGTTGTGAATGAGAGTATAAAGGAGTATAAAGAACCTTTTTAAAGCTTAATGAACCTCCACAGAAAAAAGGCTCTAGGAAGAATCCTTAAATTGGTATAGAACCTTCACCTTATGTGGAGGTTCTTTGAGCCTTAGAAAAAGGTTCTTTCTACTCACAAATCTCTTCTTCTGACATGATTCTTTAGGCAAATAAATTAGCAATATGTATGGCAATTAATTGTCAGTTAAAATTTCATGACCATGACACGCTTGGTATAAAACGCAAAGCACAGCAGTCGCATAAGAAGTAGGAATACTGATAATAAAATAAATAATAAATAAAATTTGAAAGCTTATTACAAACAGTATATCAAGTAACACAACACTGCTTATGTTCAGTAGGTCTTTGTGGGTGTAATGGCATGAGACGTGGAGTTGTTTTAACCCTCATCAGAATCAAGGTCATATTTATTGGCCAAGTATGTTGGCGCACACAATGAATTATGCTTCTGGCTGTTGGTGTCTCTCTAGTATTATATGCAGTATACAGACAATGTACATATGATTTACATACAATACACAATATATAGCCAACATACAGATTACATAAGGACACGCAATATGCATAAGTGTGTGTGGTACTGCAAACAACAGTGTATACATCATGTACAGGAATGAAATTGTAGCGTACAATAGTATGGGTGTGAGCCAGGGTGTAATAACTATCTGGAGAAAACCAGAGTAGCTATGGCCATTTAAGTGAAACGACTGCCTGAGGGGATGAGCCTGCAGTCCTGATGGTGGTCTTAAAATGTGTTCATGTGAAATCTCACTGTAGTTCAGTCACACAAATTCCCAATCGTGTAAAACAGAGAAATAAAATATAACTAATCCAAACTAACTTGCTCTTTATTCATAATTTTTTTACATACAGATACTGTGTCCTACAGGGATAAAAAGAAAGGGTCTTGTTTCATTCAGGACATTGTGGAAATATTCAACCAGTATGCCCACCAAGACCACATTGAAGAGCTGTTTAGAAAGGTGCGTGTCTTGATTATATTTCTGTCTAGTAGCAGGTCATTTTCTCAGTGCAGTTCTGTGCTGCTATCAATTATTACATGGTAAGTTACCATATTACTGCTTTCACTGAAATATTTGTGATGTATTGTTATATTTACCAACAGGTTCTCAAGAAATTTAAAGAGACCCATCCTACACAAATGCCATGCAAAGAGAGAACAACACTCTCAAAGAGGTTCTACCTCTTTCCTGGGCTGTAGGTGACTTTGGACACATACTCATATTGTTGTAGAGGATATTTCCCAGTACTGGTAACATGTAAAATGTGACAATGAGATTTTTTGTTTGTTTCTTTTTTCCTCAGGAAGCTTATTGCTTAGTAGATTATTCTATGTAAATAGTGATCTGTCCCAGCAAGCAGCTGAAAATTGTATACCGTGAACTTTGTAAATTGTATACCGTGAACCCATTGACCACTAGGAAAAGCTCCAGCTGCCCCCCGCGACCCAGAAGGATAAGCAGCTTAGAAAGTGTGTGTGTGTGTGTGTGTGTGTGTGAGTGTATAGAAATATGTATACACATTCTTCAGATGTCTTATTTAATGGCTGGTATGTTTAATTGAAATTTGTGGCAAGAAGAGTGTGTTTTTAGCCCTTCTTCTGAAGCCATATTCAGAATTGTTCTTTTGATGATTTTGGACAAGTGCTCAGGCAAAATAGTGCTGGACAAACTAATCTTTTTGTGTTTTCTCTTGATTTGTAAGACTTCCAGGTAAATAATAAATGAAACATTTAGCAAGTTTGTCTTAAGGTGCAGAACTATGTGTTCTTGCTAAGAACACATAGCTGCTACCTGCTACCATTTGTAATTTCTTAGTCAGTTTGATGACAGCACTGCAGTTTCCACAGTCCATCACCATATAGAAACTCTGTTTACCATCAATCTTAATGAAATCAGAAACAAGGTTAGGTTGACATCAATATATAATGAATTTCCATTTTTTTAGTTATCACTTTGGGGGCCTGTATATTTTAGCTCTAAAATCATTATAATAATCTGAAAATCTTCCATGCACAGCATTGATTAGCAATACAGGAGTGCCATATCTGTACAATAAAGTAAACAATTGTTTAAAGTGCATTATATAATGTAAAAGCCTCTCCATATGACTGTGTTGAAGATGTCTTTGTGGCAGAGTCAGTTTACCTTTCATACAGAATAGCAATGAGTATACCAGTTAAAGTATAAAGCAAATTCTCAAATTAAAGACTAGCCTACATACATTTATTTGATTTGCTTACTTGGCATATTTTTTTCTTATTTACCTTCAGTCAAAGTACATGCTGAACCCAGAACTGAAGTCACTGAAGTCATCAAAATATTGTTAATTGTTTTTTAATTTAGGGTAATATATTTTGCAGTCTTACTCTTATGTCCAGTTGCAATGTGATTTAAATGCCCAAAGCATTAGGAACCTGTATGCACTGTAAAAAAATGGTAATCTTAAAAAAAATTAATGTGGTAACAAGCAGTTTAACTGGTTTTATTCCACTCTAATAAATACTTGAATGAATTTGTTTTTAGGTGTTTTTAAATGAATAAAACATTGGTTAATCCAAAGTATTTATTTGAGTTTAATAAAACTAGTTCAATTATTTGTTACCATTTTTACAGTGTGGGAGTCTCTGTATGTCATGTTTGTGCCTATGATTCTATGTCTAAAAGTGTCTAAACCCTGTGGTCATTTGTGGACATGGGGATGAAAAAAAGCAATGCATTGATTTTACTTGACTGAAACATGTACATTATCGCCACATAGATACAATATACTTACTGCCAAAAGTAGGTAAATGGAAAACTGAAATTGTGTGGATGCAATAAATATATTTTGTCCATGTTTAATGTGGAACTCATTTGAATTAAAAAGAAGACAAAAAAAAGATTAACCTAAAAAAGTAGGTAAACTTTGAGCTGATTCACAGAATAATAATCTGTCTTACATCCTGCTAACTTAGTTGACATTTATTTTTTAGGCAACCAGGTGACTTAATTTTTTACTTTCTACTTTTTTTTTGTATTCCTTTTTCAGTGGGGTAAACTGTATGTGTACTGCATTGTTTGTACAGCAGAGGGTGACAAGTACTAGTTCTGCTGGCAGTGCTTGTGAGAGTGGGGAGAATCTGGAGGTGTTCTGTTTATCTGTGCCCAGCTCACTTTTTACGGGGCGGCAAGAGCGGAGAACCCCGTCTTTCGGGTGCTCACTTAAAAATTTATTAGGAACATCATTCTAATACAGCGTAGGACCCGCTTTGCTCTAAGGACACCTTAATTCTTCATGGCACAGATTCAACAAAGAGCAGAGGACATTCCTTAGTGATTCTGATCTATGTTGACATGTCAGAAAATTGCTTCAGATTTGTAGATATATATGAATGTATGTATCAAAAAAACTGACCCACCACCCCCTTCCCAGTTATATAAAAAAATGTTATGGGATGAGAGATGCAACAGGCGAAATGAAATAAATATTAGGACAGTAATAAAGACCATGGGAGGCACATAATACGGTTGAATAATTAAATAATGAGAAGGGCTTTCTATCAGAAATGGTCAGTTTTTGGACAAATGTGGTAACTGTTTGAAAAAAGAAAGAAGACATTGCCAGATTTTGTAAAATGTGTTGAACCTCTTGGTGTGAATGTAATTTCTTCTAGTTCTTCTAGGAAGGGCATTAAATCAGACAGCCATGAGAAGTCTGAAGGAGGGAGATTTCCAGTATAAATATACGCACCTTCAAGCGATTAAGGATGCAAAAGATCCTATTGGTGATTAAATTCAGATATATTGCTGGTGGTTCAAGATAATAATAAAAACTGTATATACATAATAAGCATTCTGTCTAAATCCCTGATTTTTTGTCATTAAAGGGCCTATATCATGGGAAGCTGAATTTTCCTCACGTTATTGAAATAAAGGAGTAAACATTGTTAAAGTTTCAAAACGTACTGTTCACTTCCCAGTCCGTACAGTCCATATATGGAATAAGGAGTGTTTCAGCTCTGAGTGCTTTTTGAATGATGCACAACACAGGACTACCAATCAAACAGAGCTCATTTACATGTATCTGTCTTAAAGGCACTGAAACCAAAGTAGCCTGTTCAATTCTACTGGCAATACGTAAAAAACGAGATAATCAGTTTGTTCATGGTTAACATGAGCTCACAAAAGAGAGAACTGGGGCAAGAAGAGAAAATATGAGACAGGAGGGGTGTGGGAGAAAGAGAGATGATACTAAAAATGTAAGCTATGTGAAAATGCACATGGTGTGCTACACACGCTATAGCACTATTCTTAATGAAAACACAACAAATAAATCATTTTTAATACAACTTTATTTAATAGTAATATGTTGACTCTTTAGCCCTATTTAAGCTGGATTAGTTTCACCAGAGAATAAATTTAAACTTCGCCCCCAACAGGACTTGCCATGCTGAGAAGTACCTTCAGATTTAATTTCATTCTCCATCACTAAAAATACAAATATTTTAGATTACAGTAGTCCTGCTTGAATTGGAAGATAAAGGAACTTTGCCAAGAGCTGTATTTTAGCAGTTTACTTTGTCTCCAAGTCACCGAAAAACAGAGGTGCTGTTGTCTGATAGCAGGATTTGTTTTGACATTGCAGCCAGGTTGATTTGAACAGGATGACTATTTCTGAAGGAGCTCTCAGTTGTGCAAACTATAGAAGGTAATTTGCTACGGAATTATTACTGCAGAGATTTCAATGGTAATCACTTAAATTCCACTACCTCCTCAGATAAAACTAATCCAGCTCAACTAGGGCTTTTAGGTCAACAGTATTCTGTGTAAATTTACTACAGTGATATGTTATAAATCCAAGTTACAAAAACAGCTTGTGACCATTTTCTTCTTTACTAATTGTCCTCACAGCAACATTTCTGAAGGACTTACAATACAGCCTCTGTAAAATTGTTTGGCTTTTATTTTAGACAGTCAGATGAAGGAAGAAAAACATTCTAAAAAGGTGACAGTAATGACAGCTTCCTAAAGCATACAAACGTGGTTACCAAGAACTGCTTACTAACGTTACAGATCATGTTTCATGTTCATGTTGATGTTTGTGATCCTTCAGCAGATGTCTTTTCATCCCCATCAGCCTTGCAAGAGCATCACAAGTTGTGGCCATTCAAGAAACATCACAGAACACATGGCATTAGATCATTCAACAGTGCGTATATTACATTTTTGGTATTATTTACTGCATATCAGTGGGCCTATGGGGTTGTTTATTTGGACACATGCCCAGATAGAAACACATTCCCCCAGTGGAGTATCACTATCGACAGTTACTTTAGGTAGGATTTAAAAACTGTCTGTAAAACAGTCCTGAGACTTTTTTCTATGCTCTAACAAGGATTTGCTGAAACCATGACAAAGCCTTACCAGGATTATGTCTCTGAATTTCAAAGAGTGTACTGGTGTACATGCTAAGCATATGTATAGAGTCTAATAATGTTTACACTATGTAAACTTTTATACTATGTCCATTCCAAACTTGACAGATTAAAAAAAAAATCTAAAAACATTTTCCAAGCCATGGCTGTGTGTAGCCAGTTGCAATGAACAACAACTCTGTTTGAGCTTCAGAAGAGCTTAATCTGACTGTAAGAATGACATTCACTATGAGACTAACCATGACGTTTAGTCAGTGGCTAAGTTTAATTCATGTCTAGAAGCCTGTCATATTCCAGTAACACTGAACCACAATTTGGGCCTAAATTCTAACAGACGTGTTCATCGGCTTTTTCTTGTATAGCAACTGGGAGCAAATCTAACTGTAGCTTGAGATAATTCTTCACTCTATGTTCGTACACCTCAGCACATATTCACTACTTATCTCCACTTGCTTAATTTTAAATCAAAAGAATTATAAATTATATTTCTAAAAAATAAATTTACTGGATATTTAAAGAGATCAGCATCATTAGACACTGAGTCACTGTACTTACTTTTCCTGTAGAAGACTAAGTGAGCATCCCAAGACCTATGAATCACAATGTATGATGACTTCATTATTGGTAATTTCATTGTAGATTCATTGTAGGGTAAATTGAGGGAAGAAGCCCCCCAGGGTAAAATATCCAATCCCACCACCCTGACTTCTCTCTAGTGATCAAAAAATGGGGAGAAATCTAATTGCAACACATTTACTTAATGGCTATGGTCTAATTAATTCTCACATTTCATCTTGATGACCACATTTCTCTGATTTATTGACCCAGAAACGTTCTTGGGGTCAGCTGATCTAATCATTGAGACATTAAATTTACTTTTAAAATGTAACATTTTCAGTGTTGGGGTTAGGTTCTTTAACAGTTGTTAGTTACTAAATCTTTAAAGATTGAAGGAGGTTCTATATAGCACCAGAGAGGTTTCTTCTATTGTTACAAACTTGTATAGAAGCCTTTTCAAAAAGTTTCTATGTAGAGCCACATACAACACATTATCCATCAATCTGAAAAATGCTTTCATGATGCAAAGAGTTTTTGAGTGTTCATGGTTCTATATAGAACCATTTTCTTTACTAAAGAATTATCTTTTATAAGAGTGTTGAAGACAAAGATCCTACCAGGGGGCTTCTTACTCCAGGTAGGGGGGGCATCATCTTTTTGTGCTACCAAAACAAAACTGCCTGTTTTCCTTATTTCCCTTTGCTGTAGGTTTATGCATCATCATACTGTACATACTCAACCCAAGCATAGATATAGTTCAGCTTTACA